TCATTCCATTGGTAGATAAAGAGTGAGGGGAAGGATAAGGAGGAAGAAGAAGGAGAGAACCATCAGAAAAGGAAGCCTGAGGAAGACAGCAGTGAAGAGAAACACAAAACACAGGAAGAGCTAGGAGAGACACAAAACGCCTTTGTTAACAAAAGAAACCAGGCTGCCTCTAAGAACGATGAAGAGTCGGAGGCCAGGTCTACCGGGCGCTTTGCTGGGCACTCTGAGGAGAGAACACACAGCAAAGAGAAGAGTAGCCAGGAGAGTGGTGAGGAGACAGTGAGCCAGGAGAGCCACCCCCAAGAGTCGAAAAGCCAGTCCCGGAGCCAAGAATCTGAGGAAAGTGAGGAAGACACTGCCTCAGAGGTGGCCAAACGGTTCATGAGACCCAGACACCACCACGGGAGGAGCAGGCCTGACAGGTCCTCTCAAGAAGGGAATCCTCCCTCTCAGGAGGTGGGACACCACCTTGAGGAATCTGAGGCGTCACATGTGGGCATGGCCAGTTTAGGGGAAAAGAAGGACCACCATGCAACCCACTCCAAGGCTGCAGAGGAAGAACCTGAGTATGGAGATGTGAGGAGTTACCCGGGTGTCCAGACACCAGAGGACATGGAGGGGGAACCATACGGGGGACGAGGAAGCGAGGAGTACAGGGCTCCAAGGCCTCATGGTGAGAAGGGCCCTGAGAAGGAGGACAAGAGAAACCGTCCCAGCTCAGAGCTGGACAACATGGTCCACAGGTATAGTGAAGAAAGCGAGGAAGACAGGGGCCATGAGGGAGGAAAGGGACGCCATCACAGTGGCAGGGGAGGGGACCAGAGTGCCTATGCCTCTTCTGATGGCAGAGATGAGAAGAGGTTCCTGGGTGAAGGATACCACCAAGTTCAAGAAAGCCGAACGGACAAGGCAAGGAGACACCCGCAAGGTGAATGGAAAGAACAGGACAGAAATTACCTCAACTATGGTGAGGAGGGCACCCTGGGGAAGTGGCAACTGCCGGAAGACCTCCAAGACACTCAAGAAAACAGGGAAGAAGCGAGGTATGCCCCCCATCACTCTGCTGAGAAGAGGAAGCGACTAGGGGAGCTGTTCAACCCATACTTTGACCCTCTCCAGTGGAAGAGCAGCCGTTTTGAGAGAAGAGACAACATGGATGACAATTTGCTTGAGGGTGAAGAGGAAAATGGGCTGACCTTGAATGAGAAGAATTTCTTCCCAGAATATAACTATGACTGGTGGGAGAAAAAGCCTGTCTCGGAGGATGTGAATTGGGGATATGAGAAGAGAAACTTTGCCAGAGCCCCCAAACTGGACCTGAAGAGGCAGTATGATGGAGTGGCTGAACTTGACCAGCTTCTCCACTACAGGAAGAAGTCGGCTGAATTCCCTGACTTCTATGATGCGGAGGAGCAGATGAGCCCACGCCACGAGGCAGAAGATGAAAAGGACAGGGCCAAGCAGAGAGTTCTGACAGAGGAAGAGGTATGGGGTAGGGGTGGGGGAGGGGGGAAGGAGGGGCGCTTTTGTTTAAAACTAACTTAGGATGGTCAATTTTAGTATGTTATGTTCAAGATTGTCCAATAATGGGGAGGCATGGGTGGGAATTAATCACCATAAGAATGTGGCACTAGAAGGCGACCAGTGGGTGGGCATAATGGTTATATTGCTGGACTCCCTTATAGTAGACTGCAGTTCGAATCCTGGACCTGGCGGCTTAAAACTCACGTCAGGTGCATGTGTGTGCATACCCGAAATCCTGAGAGAATGGAGAAGGGATTGCAGTGTGGCCATTCCCCCCTGGGGAGTGATTTCTCACTTTCTGTTTGTCTCTCTGGTGAGCACATGCACCCTATAGTAAAAATATAAAAAGAAAAGGAAAAAAAAAAAAGAATGTAGCCCTAGTAACAGAGTGGAGACCACCTCTGGGGTTGATTGCACCTACCATCCGGCGATTGTCCACATCCCTGCCCACTTCCCTCCTGCAAAGCTTCTCAACCTTGGTTGTCCAGTGTAACCACATGGAGAGTTTTTAAATTATTGTATCTAGGAGTTAGCTCTAATTCTGTCTAATTAGTACTGGGTGTTGCCTGGGCATCAGGATGTTTTTCCCCCTTTGGTTTTTGCTATAGACTATGTGCACTCACCAGCAAGAGAGAGAGAGAGAGTAAAAAATCACCACCCCTCTCAGGGAGGATGACCATGCTATAATACCTTCTCCACTCTGCTCTTGGGATTTTGGCCTGGTGTGAATCTCAAGCCACCAGGTCTGGGTCCAGGACCGGATCCACGAAGCTGCCATGTGGGACCAAGCACTTTGACCTCCACACCACCTATTGGCCCCATGTGAGGATTTATTTAAAACTCCCAGATGATTCCAGTATTCAGCCAAGGTTGGCGACCACCGTCCTGTCTTCCCCTTGGCTATCTGACTGCTCATCACTGTCTCCCAGAGTAAGAGAACAGGTGATAAGAAATTAGTTGCTTTGATCAATCCTTATTTATACCCTACTAAAGCCAGAAGTTTACATGTGAGAAAGGTCACCTCTTCAGAGCTGTACTTACCCAGAGGTTTTTTCCTCACTTTGATTACGTAGGTCGGTGCTTTTCAGCCTTGAGTGTGCATCAGAATTGTAAGGAATTGCTGGACCCTGGAGTTGGGACTGGGTGGGACCTAAGAGTCAGCATTTCTGACAAGTTCCTTGATGCTGGTGAAGCGGGTGCTACTGGTTAGGGGACCACACTTTGAGAACCGTTGACGGACTCATGTCAACCTTCCCCTTTCTATCAATATTCTTTCAAACTACAGCAAAATCAATTGACCCCAGACCTCATGCCTCTGCTTTTCTGTATTTTTTCAGGAAAAAGAACTTGAAAACTTGGCTGCGATGGATTTGGAACTACAGAAAATAGCTGAGAAGTTCAGCCAAAGGGGCTGATGGTTGTTGAAGCAATGGGCAGTTTTTAGAAGCGGCCCTCCTGTTATCTATTTTCCACTTCCCACGTCTCTGAAAGATGTCATTCATTTACCTAAAGGCAGAAAGTAGACTCTACTAGTCATTAAATGTTTGACACAACTGGAAATGTCTTTAGTTATTGCCAGAATGCTATGGAAAACTATGAGTAACATGACTTGCAGCATATCCTTTCTTGCAAAATAAATATATTAACATGCTTGTGATGATGACTGTGCTATCTTTGAAACAAATGTGTCTCAGTTTGAAATAATAAAAGATTCACCTGAGACCTCAAACTTCATTGTTCTAGCTTCCTTTGGACTACATAGGAGGAATATGATTTTGAAGTCCTTTTGTTAATTTTTGAAAGATGGCACTGGGATTTGTTGGTCTTTGGGGTCCGTTTTTAAAAAATAACCTTTTGAAGTAAAAGAAGGTGCAGGACATAGAAAGAAAGGCATTAGAAAAAGACATCTGTTCCTCAGGACTGAGAGAGGTTAAACAGGCTTAAAAACCAGTTTTAAAAACAGTCATAAAATTGTGCTTTAAAAATCCTATTATCAAGCCAGTGGCATGGCCAATCCTGTGGTTCAAGTCCTGTAGCTGGCAGCTTAAAAAACACACTGAGGGACCAGCGGTTAGCATAATGGCTATGTCGCTGAACTCCCATGTAGTCAACCGCAGTTTAAGTCCCGGACCTGGTGGCTTAAACTCACACTGGGCGCGTGTGCATGTGTGCCCAAGATCCTGAGAGGAGAATGGAGGAGAAGGGATTGCGGTGTGACCATCCCCCCTGGGGGGGATTTCTCGCATTCTATCTGTCTGTCTGTCTTTCTGGCGAGCGCACGTGCCCTATAGCAAAAACCTCTCAAAAAAAAAAAAAAAAAAAAAAAAAGGAAAACACGCCGAGTGTGTGTGTATGTGTGACTAAAATCCCAAAGGGAGGAAGAAATGGAGAAGAGATTGCAGCGTGGCCATTCCCCACAGAGGGAAGAGAGTGCTTTCTCACTTTCTTTCTCTCTCTCTTTCTCCAAGAAGCACATACACACTTTGGCAACATTTTTTTAAAAATCATAATTATTTGGAGAGCTCTAGGAATGGCCAAAGACCATTTTTCAGAGCTGAGAAGAAAACCTGGAAAATGGAAAAACTCTGGATTGGGAGTCAGAACATCTGGCCTGTCTAGACTGATCCAGAACTCTGCTTCTGTTACTAAATAGCTGTGTGATTTGGGGCAAGTTACTTTCCCTCTCTGAACTTCAGCTTCATCAGTAAAAGAAGACTCTCCATCTCATTGGGTTGTATGAGGATCATAGGAGTTTATTCAAAACGCTCAGGGAAGTGCCTGGCATGAGGCAAAGGTGCAGGGAATGTTAGCTGCTGCCATGATCAGCCCTGCAGCTTCTTACACCAAGACAGGTGGACACTTTCCTCTCTCTCTTCTTCCTGCCATTTTGCTCCTCACCAATGGTGGGTGCTACTTGGTCGATTTTTACTGTTTTGACAGTTCGGGTGAAGAGATGTTCTCTGGGAGGTGGTGCAAATGCCCTGAGAAATCACATATGACTTTTATTTCTTTATCCAGGAAGTCCTCATTCTCCTCTTGGCTAAGTGAAGAATTACCTGTGCAAATTTTTGTTTTGTTTTGTTTTGTTTTTGAGATTTTTGCTATAGGGCATGTGCACTCCCTGGAGAGACAGACAGAAAGCAAAACATTACCCTCTGGGAGAATGGCCAAGCCATGATCGCTTTTTCCTCCATTCTTCTCTCAGGATCTTGGGCACACATGCACACATGCCTACTGTGAGGTTTAGGCCACTGGGACTTGGCCTGGGACTTGAACTACGATCGACTACATGGGACTCCAGTGATATAACCATTGTGCTATCTGCTGGTCCCTGCCTGTGCAAATTTAACCAGATTTTTTTTTCCTCTTTAGAGAGATTTTTGTTATAGAGTATGTGTGCTCACCAGAGACAGAGATACAGAAAGCAAGAAATCACCTATGTGGGGGGTGGGTATGGCCATGCCACAGTCCTTTCTCCTCCATTCTCCTCTTGGAATCTTGGGCATGCATGCACATGAGCCCAGCATGAGTTTTAAGCCGCTGGGTCCAGGACTCAAACTGCGGTTAACTACATAGGAGTCCAGCGACGTAACCATTACGCCACCTGCTGGTCCCAACCATATTCTTTTCAAACTAATCTCAGTGACATATTTTTTCCAGGCAAGTTGCAGCTTTATCTCATGGGGAGGAAGCCAAGCAGTGCTGTGAATTTGACAGCAAATTGCTCTAAACTGAGTACTTGCTTCTAGAAGCCTGCTTATTCTTTCTCTGCCTGGGGTCTTTTATTCAGGCATGAAATCATAATTGGTTGTTTGCAAAGACCAGTGTAGAGTGTTGGGGGAATAATGGTAGCTGGAGGCCACCCTCTTGGAGACTGGGGCTGGTATACAAATACTGTACCTGTTTCCTAGAGCTGCACAAAAAAGTGCTATACACTGGGTGGCTTAAAACAAGTTTATTCTCTCACAGCTCTGAAGGCCAGAAGTCCACAACTGATGTGCTGGCAGGCCCGTTCCCCCCAAAGTCTGTAGGGGGCTGGGAGGGGGGGTCTTTCCTTGCTTTGTTCTAGTTTCTGGTGGCCCCAGTCATTCCTTGGCTGGCAACTGCCATCTCTGCCTGTCTTTACTCAGCCATCCTTGCCCTGTGAGTCTCTGTCTCTGCACATGATGCTATTTTTATGACACCAGTCACACCCATCCTACACCAGGGTGACTTCTTAACTGATTACATCTGCAGTGACTCTATTTTCAAATAAGGTCACATTCTGAGGTGTTGGGGGTTGGAACTTCAACAGATCTTGTTCTGGGAACACAACCCATAACAAGGCTGGCCAGCTCCCTTCCTCAGTCCGGTACAATAACTGAGCCACATACTCCATACAGCCCCCATCTCCTGAATTCCCCAGCGAATTGCACCCCAGCTGCCACAGTGCTTAATAACCCATCCTTTGGGGCCAGCAGGTGGCATGGTGGTTAAGGGCACTAGACTCCCACATGGCCAACTGCGGTTCAAGTCCCAGGCCTGGCAGCTTGCTTTCTTGCTTTCCCTCTGTCCCTCTCTCTCTCTTGCTGTCCCTTTCTGGTCAAATTAAAATAAACAAATAAATAAAGTTAAATAAAATAGATCTTAAAAAATAGGGAACCAGCAGTTAGCATAATGGCTATGTCACTGGACTTCCATGTAGTCGACCGCGGTTCGCATCCCGGACCCGGTGACTTAAAACTCACGCCGGGCACATGTGCATGCGTGCCCAAGATCCCAAGAGGAGAATGGAGGAGAAGGGATTGCGGCATGACCATCCCCCTGGGGGGTGATTTCTCGCTTTCTATCTCTATGTCTCTGTCTGGTGAGTGCACGCGCCCTATAGCGAAAACCTCTCCAATAATAATAATAATAATGATAATGCATCAATTATTAGCTGTCTTTACCTGCCTGTCCCACTGCCTACCAGTGACCTTACCAGTATTTCCTGAAAAGATACTTCCCAAATCGACTGCCTGTCCTCAATACCTTGTATCAGGGTTGATTCTGGGTGAGGGTTGGGGCAGGGACAACCTAAGAAGCCACCCAAAGCCAAGGCTTATCTCATGATAAATAATATAACCATGGTTGTCTTGCATCCAGTTATAACTCCTTCTCTTACTAGTCCTGATGCTAGATACTGGGAAATGCCACACACACACAGACACACACACACACACACACACACACACACACACACAATGCAATATATCTGCCTTTAACACTGCAATTCATCAAATGCCGGCCTGGCAAATGACACTCCCCCCACCTATCCAGACACAGATGTGTGAGCACATGCACACAGACACACGCACACACACACACACACACACACACAGTTTGCTGACAGATTTGAGAGCAAATGACAGATGGAGCAAAGTACAGCATGGAGCCCCTCAGCGAGATGTTTCCCACAGTTTCCTCCTGGCATCCCCCTTGTCAATGTCTTGTGCACTAGCACATTTTCACCCTGCAAACACCTCAGGGCTGGGGAGTGTGTAGGCATGGATGGCCTATTAAGGATGTAAGCGACATCCAAGAGAATCCCGTTCAACCCATAACACGCAGACAGTGCAATTAGGTTTTCTGGAGATACCACCATTTCTTCAGGAAGACGTCAAGAACTATCCAGGCTACTGCTTGTTCTTCTTTTAATGAAAATACTACATTTATGTTTTTTTTTTAAAAAAAAAATCAAGTAGCCCTGGAAGGCTTTTGAGCAGTATGGATTGAATCACGTCTCCTAAAATGATATATGGAAGTCCTAACCCTGCACCTGTGAATGTTACCTTATTTGAAAATAGGGTCTCTGGAGATGCCATTGAGTTAAGAGGAGGTCATTAAGCTGGGCCCACACCTAAGACTAGTGTCTGTATGTGAAGACGAAGTTTGGACAGAGACACCCAGGAGAGAACGCCTTGTGAAGAGAGGCAAAGATCAGCATTACGCTGGTGCCAGCTGAGAAACACCTGGTCACAGAAACTGGAGGAATCAGGGAAGGATTCTCCCCTAGAACTGTCAGAGGGAGCAGAGCCCGCCCACACGTCGACTTCAGACTTCTGGCCTCCGAACTGGGAGAGAATAAATGTCTGTTGTTTTAAGCCACCGCAGTTTCTGGTGCGTTGTTACGGAACCCACCGGTATCTAATACGTGAGAAGCAAAAGGCCTTTCTCTCCTCCACTCCCAAACCCTTCTGTGGATGGGGCTACCTGTACTTAAGAGATTCCATGCTCCTCCTCCCCCCATTTTAATAGTTATGGTCTATACTACTTTATCAAGAAGAGTTAGAACATAAAGATGGTACAGGAGGAGAGAAAAGGTCCTATCACTGCAAAATGAAAATGTACAACATGCCTTTGTGAAACAGGAGACCTTGGGGGCTAAAATAATTAACTAACTGCAGTAATTACCATGTTGTGGTCCAGGAAGCAGACACTCAGTTACATAACTAACTTCTCAGAAAGTGCCTATTGGTGGGGATCTAGCAGTTAGCGTAATGGCTATGTTGCTGGATTCCCACGTAGTCGACTGCGGTTCGCGTCCCGGACCCGGTGGCTTAGAACTCACGCCAGGCGCGTGTGCGTGCGTGCCCAAGATCCCTAGAGGAGAAAGGAGGAGAAAAGAGGTGCAGCGTGACCATCCCCTCTGGGGGGTGATTTCTCGCT